CTATACTGTCCAAACCAGAAGTGGATGAAAAACTTTATTTGAGTACGTGTCGGTTTCAAACCACGCGGTTAGTGGAGTCTTGGTTCGGGAAGACCGCGTGGAGCACAAACCAATTTACTACGTAAGCAAGTCAATGACGGATCCGGAAACCAGATACACAATGATGGAAAAACTTGCACTCGCGGTGGTGACTTCAGCTCGGAAGCTGCGCCCATATTTTCAATCCCATCCGGTTGAAGTATTAACCAACCAACCACTCCGAACAATACTTCATAGTCCAAGTCAGTCCGGACGTTTGGCGAAATGGGCGGTGGAGTTAAGCGAGTACGATATAGAATTCAAAAGCCGGATCAGTATGAAAGCTCAGGTTTTAGCAGACTTCTTGACCGAGCTACCAATACCTAGAACGATAGAGCAACCGGAGAACCAAACTTGGAAATTACATGTAGATGGGTCTTCAACAAAGCAGGGATCCGGAGTGGGAATCAAGTTGGAGTCTCCAACATCAGAAATTCTAAAATAGTCATTCCGATTGTTATTCAATGCCTCCAACAACGAGGCAGAATACGAAGCCCTGATTGCCAGACTTCGATTGGCACAAGGAGTTGGAGCTAAGGAAATATTGGCTTATTGCGATTCGCAGTTAGTAGTTAACCAGTTTAATGGAGACTATGAAGCCAAAGACTCAAGAATGGAAGCGTACCTCGAAGTGGTGAAAGATCTATCTAAAAATTTCTCGAAATTCGAATTAATCCGCATACCTCGGGGGGAGAATACAACTGCGGACGCACTTGCCGCATTGGCGTCAACATCAGATCCTGATTTGAAAAGAGTTATTCCAGTGGAATGCATTTCGGAGCGAAGCATTCAAGACAACAAAGAAACCCTCGTCGTTACAAGGTCTCGAGCAGCGGCACGTAACCGTGGCGAACCAGAGATCGAACCGCCACCTAACAAACGGAGGAAGTCAAAGGGATCAAATACATCTAACAAGGAACCCGTTGTCTTAGCTGAAGATGTGATTCCAGAAACGATATTAGAAACCGAGCCGTTAATCGAGGAGGATGTTCTTGAACCAAACGAACATCCCGAGCCAGAGCCACGAGTATTTCACAAGGTTGACCAAATTCCGGCTAAAGACTGGGGGGCTGACTGGAGGGAGCCAATAAAGCACTACATCACGACAGGTGAGCTCCTAAAGAATAAGTGGCAGGCCAGGAAAATGAAAATCGTTAGCGCAAAATTTTGTCTATCAAAGGACGCGTTATATAGACGAGGTGTCAGTGACCCTTACCTATTATGCATTTTTGGGCCCGAAGTCGAAATCGTCATGAGCGAAGTGCATGAAGGATTATGTGGGAGTCATTCATCAGGAAGAGCTATGGCTTTTAAAGTTAAAAGAATGGGATACTATTGGCCCACTATGATCATGGTTTGTGTTAAATTTGCCTAAAAATGTAAGCGCTGCCAACTCCATGCACCATTGATCCATCAACCTTCGGAGTTATTCTCTTCCATCTCCGCCCCGTACCCGTTTATGAGGTGGTCAATGGACATCATTGGACCATTGCACAGATCAACTCGAGGTGTACAATACCTTTTGGTCTTGACGGACTACTTTTCGAAATGGATAGAAGCTGAGGCATATGTTGGCATCAAGGATTCGGCGGTAAAGACTTTCATTTGGAAGAATATTATATGTCGACATGGAGTTCCGTATGAAATAGTCACCGATAACGGGCCACAATTCATTTCACAAGAGTTTGATGCCTTTTGTGCGGACTGGGGAATCAAAGTCAGTTACTCGACTCCACGATATCCGCAAGGAAACGGTCAAGCTGAAGCCGCGAACAAGACGATATTGAGCAATCTCAAGAAACGTTTGAATCATCTAAAGGGAGGATGGTACGAAGAACTCCAACCCGTCCTATGGACCTATCGTACAACCCCTAGGCGACCTACCGGAGAAACTCCATTCTCTTTGGTTTATGGCATGGAGGCAGTAGTACCAGCTGAACTCAACGTGCCCGGACTTCGCCGAACAGAAACACCATTAAATAAGGAAGAAAATTCAGCAATGCTTAATGATTCACTAGATACCATAAATGAAAGTCGTGATCAAGCTTTGATTCGGATTCAGAATTACCAGCAGGCAGCAGCCCGATATTACAATTCTAAAGTTAAAAGTAGGCTGTTCTTCGTGGTATGTGTTAAGGCGTGTCTTTGACAACAAAAAAGAAGAAGGTGCCGGTAAACTCGGTATTAATTGGGGAGGACCTTACATTATTACCGAAGTGGTTCGGAACGGTGTTTATAGGTTAAAAGACTTAGAAGACAGTGCAGTCAAGCGACCTTGGAATGTGATCAACCTAAAGAAGTTTTATGTTTAAAGCTACATGCATTTTTATGTACATGAACTACGGTGTGGCTTGATCCCGAAATGGGTACGTAGGCAGCTCGGAAACGAGTTCAGCTATTAATAAAAATTTTGTTTATTTCTTTATTAAAGTAAAGGTTCGGCTATGCGAACATACAAGAGATTGGAAGCAAAACATTTATTCAAACGAACAAGACAAAGTGTCGATCTTCGCACACTTCGAGTTAGGAAAACCCTCCCGGAGAGCAGAACACTTGAACTCCTTGACCAGCAAGATCAAGAACTGGCATCATACAATCCGGGATACGAGCAAATTCGGAGATTCCGAGCTCAATCCACTCTCCGGGGTGAGAACTAAGGATGTGAAGATCCCTTGATATCGCAGTGACCTTGCGCTGCATTCGATGAATCTTTTTTCGAAGTTTTTTGTTTTCCAGCGATAGCTTCCTGTGTCGAATTCCGAGCGCTTTGATAAAGGCCATCGCAATCTCCCGGTCTCTATCTGGAAGGTTCTTGATCAAAGCGCATGGAGCTCGGATCTGAGATCTG